CGGGTCCGTTCGCGGCCAGATCGTAGGGATGTCTCGAGCGGTTTGCCTGTTTGGTTCTTTGGACGTCTCTGCTTTCAGAGCACACGGTCAGAATGTCCCGAGCGAGGCGCTGGTTTCAGCACCCGCATGAGGGTTCGCCAGTGGGTAATGCACGGGCCCGTTCACGCCCAGACCGTGGGGATGTCTTAAGCGGTTTGCCTGTTTGGTTGTTTGGACGTTTCCACTTTCAGAGCAGAGTGCGACGATGTTTCGAGCGAGGCGCTGGCTTTCGCACCCCAGGGGGATGGCGCCAAGGGGGTTCTGGACGGGCCCGTTCGCTGGCAGACTGGCGTGATGTCTCGGGCGGCTTGCCTGCATGGGTCATTGGGTGCTTCTGCTGTCAAAGCAGATGGAGGGGGAAGAGGAGGAGGAGGAGGAGGAGGAGGAGGAGGACGAGGAGGAGGACGAGGAGGAGGAGGAGGAGGAGGAGGAGGAGGAGGGGGATGGGAAGGAGGAGGGGTTGTCCCGAGCGAGGCGTTGGTTTCAGCACCCTGATGGCGGCTCCGGTTAGGACACCCCGGTCGTCCGCGCCTTGACTGTGGGGACGTCTCGGGCGGCGTGCCCGCTTGGCGGCCCGGGCCACTTGCTCGGCTGCCTGTGTGTCGGCTAGACCCTAGGCGGTCGTGCTGGGGCACGAGCAGATCGTGAGGATGTCCCGAGCTAGGCGCTGGGAAGAGGAGGAGTCCCTGTCCTCCTCCCCCCCCTCTTTGTCTGATCCTCCTCCCCCTCTTCCCCATCCTCTTCTCGCCTCCTCATCCCCCCTCTACTTATCCCTCTTCTCCTCATCCTCCTTTTCTTCCCCCTCACTCCTCTCCTCACTCCTCTCCTCCTCGATCCTCTGCTACCCTTTCCTCCTTTTTCCTCTGGGATGCCACGGGCGAGACGCTGGCTTCAACACCCCAGATGGGAGCCGCCAGTTAAAAATACACACCCAGATACTCGCAGACAGATGCCTTCAGCGAGACGTGCTTGGATCACTAGATGCACATGTGGGGATCTCCGCGTCGAGTAATCGTACGAGCACGGCTTGCTGTCGGTCTCGCGGTGGACGTTGCCGAGTTGAGAGAAACTGTCCAGCAGCTACCGCTGTCGGTTTTGGGCAACGCTCGTTGCTGGACATCGTGCCGAAAGGGGGAAAGGAAGGGAACCCATACATCTCACGATCTGAGCAAACAGTACACCTGCTACTCAGCGTTTGCGGCCGCTGAAAGTCCTCACTGGGCGATGGGATCGTCAAGCAACGAATCAGTATGAGAAGCCCGTCCCCAGGGGAACGGCTCGGGTCTTCCTGGGACCCCCTATCGAACGGATCAGGGCTTGGAGGAGGAGGAAGAGGAGCGGGCGGAGGGGGGGGAGGAGCCAGCGGAACGGGCGGGGGCGGTCCTTTGGGCCCGAGATGTCCCGAAAGGTTTCCAGAGGCCCAAGAAAAGGGCAGGAGGCGCTGGAATGGAAGGCCGTCGAGGAACGCCCGAAGCATGCTTCTTGGAGCCTCAAGGGGCGAGCAACTTGGCAGGATAGGCAGGACAGCCAGCAGTCGACGTTCTGTACGTACCCCTGCTGCCACCCCGCACTCTGAGTGCCAGAGGGCGAGGGGGGGGGGGCATGGCGTGGCTTTTGAATACAAGGGATCTGTTTCGAGGGGCCAGGTTTCAGCAACACCACCACCCTGCCCCCCGCAGGGTTTCCAACCTCGGCAGGGATCGGCGCACAGAGACGTCGACCTCCTTGGACGAGGCGTGGACGGGCAGGTGATACGCCCCCACCGCAGATGTCCGGTCGCGCTATCGAGCCACGCCGAGAGCGTGGAGGCATGGCGGGCGCAGATCAGCGAACGCCAGCCTGGCAGGCCAGGCTGCGGCTCTGGCAGGGGGGGAGGCGAAGGCAACGAGTAGGGAGGGAGGAGCGTCTCGGGGGGGCGGGGAGCGGCCATCGCCTGGCGGGACCTTCTCCTCCGAAGTCGTGCTTCTTTCTCTGTGGCGCGGGCCCCTGGGTCCTCTTCCCGAGGCCAGACGTTTCATCGGGAGTCGTTCTTGCATGGACCCGGGGCTGGGAAGCGGTCTCAAGGGTCTCGGAGGTCGACGGGGTAGGATAACTGGTCGTCGCGCTTTTGGGGGGCTCCTGACTCTGAGGGAGGAGCCGGACCTAGACCTCCCCGCGTCTGAGCAACATCGCGACGGAGGGGTTGGGCAGTGCTCGTCGTCCGCTGGCGCCCTTAACGCCCCCCCGCCCAAGTTCTCATGGCGCCAACAGCGCAGAGCGCATTTCTTTTAGAAGGTCACGGGATGGGCCCGGATTGTCCTGGAGCATTTCGTTCTGGAGTTCGAAGTTTCGTGCGGATTTTGTGTGGCCAGGGATGAAGATTACAAACAAACACGTGACATTCACGTCGTTGTTCGCTCGCCGTTTCGGGGTTTCGCATTGACAGAAATCCACGCGAAAATCTGCTGCAGCACGTCTGCAAGGTCGGTGCAGTGACAGTTCGGTCCCAAGACCAGTCAGGATGAAAATCGGGGCCGGCTAAGAGGGAGGTTGTGACAAGGGGCGGTGGATATCACTGCCAGGGCCACGATCTCCTCCCAGTTGTCGTGGCCTCTTCATCTTGCTATTCCAACACGTCCCCTGCCGCCCCCCCCATGTCCGCGAATAAAATGCCCCTGGCCATGATTGGCGAGACCCTCTTCGGGACGCCCCCGAGATAAATCTGTCCCCAGGAAGGGGTCCAGACCCAATCGGGCGTTGCCAAGTGTGGCCCTGGCCCAAGGTGTCCTCTTGCCACAAAGACCTCTCGCGGGCTCTTTGGGAGGCTGCTGGATTTCCTGGCTTGATGGCTCGGTGGCATCTCCTGGGAGGCTGCTGAATTTCGGCATCGGGGCGCGTATGTCCGTGCGCGGAAATCGTCAGTCATCTGGTTTGGCGCATCGCAGTCCACTTTGACCTCGCTGAATCTGGCCCAATATGGCTCATTACTTGGCTTCTTCGGTATCAGTGTTGCGTGCTGGCCTCGTAATCGGGCTCAGTAGTCGTTCCAACGACCCCATCCCAAGAGCTGCTTCTGAACCAGCGGGTGGACAACATATCCGCATCCGTACGCGAAAATCCACATTCATATCCGTATCCGCGCAACACTGGTTAAAACAAACTAATTCTTTTTCAAGAAGGTGAAGACGAAACAGAAAGCAAACACAACAACAAAACAGACAAACAACTCAAATCGTCAATCATCTGGTTTGGTGCCTCAGGAAACCAGGACCCCAGGAATCTAGTTTGGCGCCTCGGGGGCTCTGGTCCCTCCACAGGAGGCCTCGGGATGCCCCCCGGGGCCTGGAGGATCCGGAGCTGGGGCCCCAGAAGAGCCACGACGTCGAGCCAGCACCCGTGCCGGAGCCCGGCGGGAGAAACACGACGATCGGAGATTACCTCGATCCACGCTGGCAGGCTCCTCTGGGGTGCGCCAGTGCGCTTGTCTGCCAAGTTTCCCATGCGCGGGGCCCCCGAGAGGAGGACCGAAGGAGGTCCCACGGCCTCGCTCGGGGAGTCTCGAGGGTCGAGTGCGAAGCCCTGCGGCAGAGTGCCAGCCAAGAGGGCATCCCCATGCCTTTGCCTGGCATCGCCACATCTCGGTGCCGATCTCAAGGGTGCCTCCCTGGTCGTGTCCATCGGAGGGACGGGGACGAACTCGAGGCCGGCTAGCAGGGGCGGGGGCAGAGCGGCGGTCCAGGGTGGTTCGGTATCGAATTCGGCGGGTCCGAGGCGATTCGATGCCGATTTGCGGGAGACCGGATGGGGCCCAACGTTCACACAGCTCGGCTGTGCATCGTGGCGCAGCTGATGCGACTCGATTTCGAATCCGGGCGGACGCAGCCCGATTCGATGCTCGTTCTGATCTCGGCGTCACCCCAACATACTAACACTATGTGTGCGTCGCCCCCCCCCTGGGGCGATGCGCGCACCAAGAAATCTTGTAGTATGTGCGTCGTGGCGGGCGCTCTCTGGCCACACCGCTCGGGAACCGATCTGCTACAAGATGAGTCTACTGCCTGTCCGGGTCGGACGCGCGCCTCCAGGGAGGACATATAGCACTAGTAGGTCTCTGTGCGTCCGGATGCACTCGGGCCCCAGGAGGGCGACGATCTTAATGTCTAGGAGGACACCAACTATACATCTACACCGATCCTAGCTAAGGGGCATCCTGGGCCCAGGATCTGGGCGTGATGGACGTGCGAGGAGGGAGCAGGAGGATGAGGATGGTAACATGGAGTATGAGAAGGTCGTGGAAGAGGAGGAGAATGAAGATGAGGAGGAGAACGAGGAGGAAAAGAAGCACAAGGAGGATGTCGATGCGGTGTTGGCTGATGCGGTGTTGGCTGATCCCGATGCGGTGTTTGGCTGATCCAGCCTGGGAGGGGCCGTCCCGATGCGGTGTTGGCTGATCCAGCCTGGGAGGGGCCGGCAGGTTCTACAAGCGGGCGGGCCTTCTGCGCGACGTGGCCGCGGCGGGCAACGTGGACGAGGCTCCCGGCGGTCGCGGGGCACCCCCGCGAGGGCCCCGCCGCGGCCGATCGCCGCCGCGCCTCGATTTCTTTGGCCGGAGGCCTCTGGCGGACTGGTTCCTTTGATCGCGGCGCCTTCCCTGCAGCTCCCCAGGAGTCCAGCGCACTGGGAAAATCAAGACGGAGGTGTTTCGCCGTTTTCGGGGCCGTCAAATAAACGACTCAGGATGGGGCCTTTGCCAGGCACCTGGACCGTCGACAAGCGGCTCAGAATGGAAAGCCGGTGCTGAGGAACGGGTCGAGACTTCCGGGGCCCCGTATTGAAACAATCACGGCATCGGCTATCTGGGACGAGCTCGCGGACCACATTGCATGCTCGCACACACCGCCTTGACCGCTCCCCCCTGGCTCCTCACCCTCCTCCTCCTCCTCCTCCTCCTCCTCCTCCTCCTCCTCCTACTCCTCCTCCGTAGCCATTTTGGCTCAAGCCGGCCTCAAACCCCCTGGTCGCCATTTGCCTCTTTCGCTCATGGCCGGCCCGGGTGTTGCTGCTTGAGGACAATGGCACGGGAAGTGCTGCGGGGAGCTGCTGGCGCGCGGGCTTCTGCAGACATATTGGTGTACAAGTTAAAGGACGAGCTTGGTTCAGCGAGGAGAGAGATCGCCAGGCTGCAGGACCTGCTGCATCGCAATTCCGCCAGCGACCCACACGAAGAGGAGCTGCTCCGCCGCTGGGGAGGTATCAAGCTCGTCTTGCGGGCCCAGCTCTGAGCCCGCGACGGTGTCGAGACATCCCTGTCGGACGCCGACATCCTGCGCCGCAGCAATTCTGAGCATGCTGCCGCTGCGCCGAACCCTGCGGCCCGCTGCGAGGAGCTCAGACGCGACCAGAAGGCGGAGCGCCTGGCCCCGCCACGGGCCTTGGTTGGGCGCACAATTTCGGTGAAGGAGCTGCGTGCCGACGCCGATGCCTTCATTCCCTCTTGCGGAGTGTGGGAGGCGCTGGACTGCAAGGAGCCCTTCCCGCTGCAGGGCGAGCTGGATGAGGGACACTGGGGCATGCGCTGCACCTGCGGTGCCGTGGCGTTCTCTGGCGAGCTGTTCGCCTGCCGAGGACAAGGCCGCAGGGAGACGGAGCCCCGTCATCCAGATATTGTTGCAGCTGAAAGGGCCATGAAGGTCGCGGCGCTCGAGCGGATCGACTACGAGCAGTGGGTCAACGCGCCCGCGCGGGCGCTCGGCAGCAGGCACCTCCAGGCGCGGCCGTTCGTGCGCAAGGTGGAGCGGCTAGCCCAGGCGGGCCGCGCGGGCGCCTCCGTGCCCGACACCTTTTTCGTGGAGCAGCAGGTCGTGAGGAACGACCCCGAGGCCGAGGAGGAGCTCGACGATGCGTCACTCGTGCGGGCCCTCGGCGTATCGATGCGCGCGCTGGACAGCGTGCTGCGGGACTACCACTTTGGGCGTGCAGGCCACATCCGCGGCCGCCGAGGCGGGCAGGCCGCGGGCCCAGGGATGGGAGCCCATTCCTGGGGCGCCTCCGCCCCCGACTCCAACGACTGCAAGCAGCAGTGAGTGCTGCTGCGGGCCCCGCGCGGCCGCGTGCTGCGCCTGGGGGGGGCTTTTCGGTTTCCCCTCCCTTGGGGCGGCGCGGCCGACCCTGAGGGGGCCTGGGGGGGGCTCGGTTCTGCCCCTCCTGGGGTGCCTTGGCCTCTGGGGGCCAGGCACGGTTGAAACCCCTGGACCCGCCGACGGGAGCTGCGGGCGTCCCTGCAGCGTCCCCCTGCTGCAGGGCCCGTCGGCGGGGGGCTGTGCCGCGAGGCCTGCGGGCGCTCGCGATGGCGCGGTTTGGCCGCGCGTCGGATTCCAGGCGAGCCGCCGAGGGCGGCGACCGCTGTGCGCGAGGCACGGCGTGCGCGGCGCGCGGCGCCGCGGGCGGGGCGCGTCGGCCCGACTGACGCGTTCCCTAGTGCCCTCACCCTCACCCTCCTCCTACTCCTCCTCCCTTTTCTCCTCCTCCTCATCCTCCTCCTAATCCTCATCCTCATCCTCATCCTCATCCTCATCCTCATCCTCATCATCCTTCTCCTCCTCCTCCTCCTCCTCCTCCTCCTCCTCCTCCTCCTCCTCCTCTCCTCCCTCATTGTGCCGACACGCTCTTGGGGTGAACCCGTAGCGCTCCCTACTCCATTCTTGAGGCCTGCGGTGGACAGAGTGATGAGACAGGATCGGCGGGAGGATCCTCGCGCCCTCGAAGAAGTCTGCGGTTCGGGGGGACGGAGGAGGAGGAGGAGGAGGAGGAGGAGGAGGAGGAGGAGGAGGAGGAGGGTGCCCAGGGCCCCAGGGCACTCAGAAGCAGACCAGGGAGGCGCCAGATGTGCGCCGCCCCGGGCGGCGCCAAGGCGTGGAGACCGCCCTTGGACCACTCGGGAGGCATGCTGAGGCGAGCACGGACTACTCGGGGGGCTGTCGAAGCCAGCCCGCGCTGCCCGGGGGCCTGTCTGCGCGCCACCCGAAGCCTCACCAACAACGCACGGGCAGACGCACTCCGCGATTTCGGTGGGCCCTCGCACGTCTTCCGGATCGGCGCGCCGGTCGTCCGGCGTGGTTGAGGACAAGACCTTGACATTCAGCTGCCAGGGTTGCGGTTGATCGTTCGAATCGCGATCTAGTTCATGCGGGTAGTATCCGAGCTGGTCTCGAGGTTCTTCAGCTACGCTCTCCTCTCGCACCTGGCCAGCAGCGCCCTCGCATGCGGGTACAATGTTGTCCTTGGGCTGGAGGACGGCATTCCCTTGATGGCAACCCTCCTGGTTGGAACAGTCCACCTCCTGGCCTTCTGCGGGCAGCTACACGTCCTCGAGCAAGACTTGACCGAGGCGGGGAGCCGTGTTGGCGTTTTCGGCATTGTCCCTGTTTTGATCGCGACTGTTCTGTCCTCCTCGGCCGTAGCGGCGACGTGAATCGAGCCGGTGGCAGTGGTTTTACCCTGGTCCTTCTGCTGCAAGCGCTGCTCCTTTTCCCTGGTCCCGTTCCTGGCCCAGTATTGCTTAGCTTTCGGTTTTGGGGTTTGGCTGTTGATGCATACGGCCGATTAGCGTGTCGCGCCGCGTGCTGACCAACCGCGATTCGGACCGACACGCTAACCATTTTCAAGTCCCCAAGCGTCAACGGTCCGAGCATTTCCCAGCTTACCGCCCCACGAAACAGAGCGACGAGCGATTTGCTTTCTAAGCGTAGCGTGTCGACAGGGCCGCGGCCGCGACGTGCTAAGGAACTGGTCCCGACGGCAGTTCCCCAATGTCTGATGTGGATCTTGCGTATGGGAGTCATGCCCCCCTCTGATTCCCATGCGCCGACGTCCTCCGCATCTCAACACGATAGCTCTGCGAGGCCCTTAGCCGTTTTTTGGTGAAGTGGTCGCCGATGTACCGTCGGAGACTTTAATTAGCGCTACGGTGTTCCCAGCTACTTAGCCTTGACCACTAGAAAGAGTGTCGACCACCACGAAAGTTACGAAACTGGAGGGGTTTCAAGTGTCGGGCCCTGGGAGGCGACAATCGTTCGACACTGGTTCCATACTCTGCTAGGTGGTCGAACTTATTTCTGGGATGTGGACCTTAAGTGCGACGGGGCCTATAGAAGGTTAGCGTGTCGTTCCGCGAGTGCGGGCCCGCCACGCTGCCGCGCGACACGCCATCGACGTCCCGGCCTCTCCGAAGGTTCACGCCCCGAGCCTCCCTCCCGAGCCCTACGCCCCGCGGCGGGACGCGACACGCTGTCCGCTCGCAGGGCACATCGTGTTTCCAGGGCGCCGCCGCGTTATATTCGCTGAGCAGCACTTCCCAACCTCGCAACCTGTGTCCACGTTTGCTTCACGAGCTACAGCACCTTTCCTCCTCCTCCTCCTCCTCCTCCTCCTCCTCCTCCTCCTCCCCCTCCTCCTCCTCCTCCTCCTCCTCCTCCTCCTCCTCCTCCTACTGCCTCCTCCTCCTCCCCCTCCTCCTCCTCCTCCTCCTCCTCCCCTCCCCTCCTCCTCTCCTCCTCCTCCTCCTCCTCCTCCTCCCTCCTCCTCCTCCTCCCCCTCCTCCTCCTCCTCCTCCCTCCTCCTCCTCCTCCTCCTCCTCCTCCTCCTCCTCCTCCTCCTCCTCCTCCTCCTCCTCCTCCTCCTCCTCCTCCTCCTCCCCCTCCTCCCATCTGGCTCAAGCGTTCGCGAGGGCGCCGTCGCCCGCCGCTCCGCCGCGGGATGGCTGCGCCTGGAGGGGCTCGCGCGCCGCCGTCCGCCGTCACCACGCTCGTGGAGGCGGCCGTGCGCGGCGCCGTCCTGGGAGGCGCCCCGCGCCGCACCGTCGCCACGGCTGCACGCTCCGCCGTCTCGGCCTCGCTGTTCGCGCAGCGCGCCGAGGCGCCCGTGCTGCCTCCGCGCGACGCTGCCGCTGGTGCTGTTCCTCCCGACGTGCCTCCTGGTCCTCGTCCTTGCCGCGCTGGTGCCGCGGCCGCTGACGCTTCGGCGCGAGCCTTGAAGCGTCGGCGGCGCCGCATGCGCCGCGGCGACGGCGGATGCCGGCGGATGAGGAGGAAGGCGTCGGCGGATGCCGGTGCCATGGAGGCGAACCGTCGGCGGCGCCGCATGCGGCGAGGAAGGCGTCGGGGGATGCCGGTGCCATGGAGGTGGAGGCGGAGACGGTGGACGCCGCTGCGGCGGAGAGCGATGCTGCGGGCGCCGCCGCCGCCGAGGGGGGCGACATCGTCGACGACGAGGTGGGCCGACGCTGCGAGGCGCCCAGCCCCTCGTGGCCACAAAGCGGCTGGCCCGGAGGTGCCTGCGGCGCCTGCTGTCGCGGCAGGGGAGCCGTCGGAGGCGCGGGTGCTCGCGGAGGCGCGCGCGCGTGCCCTCGCGGGCTTCTCTGACGCGACGGACCCGGCGGAAGTCCAGGAGGCCGTGGCGGCGGCCGTGGCTGCGGCTGCCTGGGGCCCCGGGGCGGCACGAGGCGGAGGCCGCCAGGGGCGGCAGCCCCTCGCGCAACGCGGTGCACGACTTCGGCGGGCACTCCTCGCGCCCTCGCGCTCCTCGCGCCCTCGCGCTCCTCGCGCCGCCCGTCGGCTCCTGGCGGTCTAGACGGCGCTCCTCGCGCCGCCCGTCGGCTTGCATGTGGGCCTCTCGTGGGGTCCGCCCGCTGGAGGGGCTCGTCGTCTGCCAGCACCCCCTGCGGACGGGCGCTGGGCGGCGACGAGTGCGCCCAGCCGCCGCGGACGGCCCCAGCGTCTCCCGGCACCCCCTGCGGGCGTGCGCTGGGCGGCGACGAGGCCGCCAAGTTCTCCAGGTGCTGTTCGTTCGTCGGACGGCTCCCTGAGGCCCCTGAGCTTCTGAGCTCCTCCTCCTCCTCCTCCTCCTCCTCCTCCTCCTCCTCCTCCTCCTCCCCTTCGTCCTCCTCCTCCTCCTCCTCCTCCTCCTCCTCCCCTCCTAACACAAAGAGGCTGGTTCTAGATTCAGTCGATTTTTGTTGAGATGTGTGCTGGTCCGTTTGATCGGATGTGGACAGACGCGTTGGATGCGGCTGACACGGCAGCATTCGGGCAATCGGGCACGGGCCTTTTCACGAGAGCCCGCTCGTCACACTAGCGTAAGTCTCGGCTGCATCGTCGATGGCGCGCCCCCGCTGCCGCGAGAACGCGCCAGACATGCCGCGCGTCTCAGCTATTTAGACGCTGTCTTTGATGGTCCTGCCGCGCCCAGGGGCCGTCGGAGAACGGCTCGGGATGAACAACGGGCCGCGGGAAAGTTTTCGAGAGGTCTAGGGGTCCACGTCGTGGTCGTCGCCGTCGTTGTTATCCTTTGTCGTCGAGGGCCGAGGATCGCCTAGCGCAGCCTCAACCATTTTTGTTTGTGCGCGCCTAGCGCAGCCGCCACCGTTGTTGTTTGCATGTGGCTCGCATTGCGTGGTCCTCCTATCTTTAACGCCAGGTGGAATGGATGCTAAGCGTGCCCCGCCTTAGCTCTCGCTGCAGTGACGTCACTCGGCCGCTGGGCAAGCAACGCGTGCGTGTGTCAAGGCCAGAGACATGATCTCCCAGATTTCATTACCCGCTGCCCTCTTGCGGGCCCCCCTGGATTTCCCCTCGACCTCGCGCATTTGTTTCGGGGGCCACGACTCTAGTCTTCGCCAATATGGTCAGGGTGGACGGGGTCAGAGAATCGCGCCTCGTCGCCGATGCACCGGCGATGCGGCTCGATGTGGAGCTCGATTTTCTCCACGACGACGTCGCCGATGCATCGCCGATGCGTCGGTCATGCATCGGCAATGCGGCGCGATTCTCCGCGCCTGTCTCGTCCGACCCCACCTGGGAAACATCAAATGACGCGCGCCTCCCTCCACGTTCTATCTGCGGACGACCTTCACGTTCCGTACCGCGCAGGCGTCTCCCGAGGCGTCGCGAACCCCTCGACCTCGGAACGGTACGGTGCACAGTGCTTCGGTCTTCGGAGCCGGAAGACTATTCGCCGTAACGCGCTGGAGCGGCGCCTGAAGAGCACCCACCCACGGTACGGGGCCTGTGCCCCGCTCTCGTAACCTTGAAAGGACTTGAGACCCCCCTTTATACGGGGTTCTTAATGAATAATTCCTCATGCGGGCTTGGGGCCCCGCAGATAGGGAGTAACCAGTTATTCTGTTCCGTGGCACCCTCCGCGCAGCATCGACGACGACCTTCCTCCTCATCCTCCTCCTCTTCCTCCTCATCCTCCTCCCCCTCATCCTCCTCCTACTTCTCCTCCTCCTACTCCTCCTCCCGTTCCTCCTCCTCCTCCTCCAGTTCCTTCTCCTCCTCCTCCTCCTGCATTGTCCTCCTCCTGCATGTTCCTCTCCTCCTTTTTCCCCCCTCCTCCTTTTCATCCTCCTCCTTCTCAGCATTCTCCTTCTACTCCTCTTCCTCATCATACTCATCTTCCTCCTTGTCCTCCTCCGCTTCCTTCTCCCCGGACCATTCCTAACGAGGAGGGAGAGGAGGAGGAGGAGGAGGAGGAGGAGGAGGAGGAGGAGAAGGAGGAGGAGAAGGAGGAGGAGGAGGGGGA